ATTCTGGGCTTGGTATACATTGTTGGGTATCTTCGGCTCTGCAACTTGCTGACTTCTTTACCAAGACTCACACCACTGCTCGATTTCAGTTTTTTTTCTTAGCAAACTCTCAGTGTTTTCTGCTAAAACACCTTGAGTTTGAGCGGGGGTGTGAGAAATATGTGTTCTCCTCGGATTAGGAATAAGTGTCCTATGTCTATTAGACTTCTATATATCTCAGTAATGTATTCATGTAGGGTTAGGAATTAGTGGTACTCTATATAAATGATGTATGTATTCTTTGTTCAAATTAATTCAAGACTAATATACAGTTTTATTCAGAAAACTTACATGATATCAGAGTTTGGTTCGAAACCCTAATCTGAAGGATTCGAAACCCTAGCAACCATCTCTGTTCGTTTTCGTCTGGTTCGAAATCAACCCATCCATCGTGATTCGTCTGTCCGTCGCGATCCATCTGGGTTCAGGTCAAGACCCATCGTCACAACCTGCTGGTTGTCTGTTTCTGCCTCTTTCGTGCCTTCTTGCAGAGTCGAAACCCTAACAGTCATAGCCTCTCTGTTCAGTCGCAACCCATCGGCTATAAATTGCGATCAATTATCGCCCTTGCATCATCGTATCTCTCTCAGTCCTCGTCGGCTTCATCTCGGTTCATCATCGCAACTCCTTCTCGTGATTTTCTGACTTTGGTTCTCTCTCTCTCTCTCTGTAGCTTCATCTCGGTTCATCATTGCGACTCTCTCTCGCGACTCTGGTTCTCATCTCTCTATCTCTATCTCGATGATTTGTTATCAATAGTATTAAAACCCTTATTCCTGTTTGGCCCATTTATTAAGTTATTAGTATACTTTGACCCATTAATCTTTAGTTTATTACAATAATGGACTCTAAAATTCAAGCCATTAAATGTAAACTCAATGGTGGCAATTATGCCTATTGGGTTAGTGTTATGAAGAATTTTCTTCTTGGTCAAAAAAAATGGGGCTATGTTTCTGGTTCTGCTCCTCATCCATCAGACCCAAAGGTAGAAGGGTATCTGTCTTCCTGTGACACTTGGGATTGTGATAATGCCCAAGTTCTTACCTGGTTTCATAACTCTGTGGATGACCGTATTGGAATGATGTTTTCCAAGTACAGTACTGCCAAGGAAGTGTGGGATTATTTACTCGGTGTTTATCAGCAGTCCAATTTTGCCAAGCGGTATGAGTTGGAAACAACTATTCAGGGTGCTCGTCAGCGGGATCAAACTATTCAGGACTTTTATATTGAGATGACAGGTCTCTGGGATCAGTTGGCTCTTATGGAACCACCTAGTCTCAAGATACTAGACGCTTATATTGAGTTTCGGGTGTAAGAATCCTGAAAACTTTTCTGTATATGCAAAATTCAATGTATCAAAGATTACAATCAGATCATAGATTATATAGCCCTAAATCCTAAACCAAAAAGGAAAATACAAATACAATTATGTCTCTAACAGGACTCTAACTCAATAACACAATCATGTCTCTAATAGGACTCTAATTTGTACAAAACACAAATTTATAATATTCTATTATATTCTAACACCCCCGCTCAAACTCAAGGTGTTTTAGCAGAAAACACTGAGAGTTTGCTAAGGAGAAACTGAAACCGAGCGGTAGTGTGAGATTCAGATACAGATTCAGATGCAGATTCGATCTCAGAAGGCATCCAGAACATCAGTTTCAGAGTCAGAGACAAATTCAGATTCAGATTCAATCTCAGAAGGCATCCAATTGACTAATAGATAATAAACTGACAGATAACTGAGGAACATATAAAACGGACGGAATAGAGACTGCAGACACAGCAGACGGTATAACAGACCCAACAGATATAACTGACTCGACTGAGATTCTAACTGAAAAGATGAAAGTGCAACGGGGGAGGTAGACTGAGGAAGATGCAGGCGTTCCACCACATAGAGATCTCCAACTCTACGGCCGGTCCCAATCTGCTTCTTGGATACCCG